GTTTTCAATGTTTTGTAACGTTTTCAGAGTAACAAATGAAATGCATTTGTAAAGTACCTTAAAATCAATTCAAAGCCATTAAATATTGATTTATTTACACAAATGTTTCAATCATTGAATGCAAATAACAAAGAAAAACATAGATTTCTATTATTTAAGAATCGATTTGTTGTTTCAGTTATTCCTAACAAAAGCAGAAAAGGAGTCAATTTATTCATAAATGTATTCATTATTATTATTATTATTTAATGTTTAACTCAAAGTAATAGCGGATATAAAAGTTATAATACATAATAATATCTTTTGATTATTGAGGGTATTATTGTTGTGTTTATTTAAATTAATAACTATTTATATTGAATGAAATTATTGATTCGTGAGTTAACTATTGGTTTGCGATTACCTTATTATGCATTATATGTCTAACCATTAAATTGCTTTTACAATACATAGCGTGACCTTAAATCAAATGAAATATGGTATTTGAGATATGGGACAGTTATATGGCACAGGTATACACACCACACACACCATCCGTACGGCAATTACCTGTGCATATGATCGCCAAACCTTTCAAAATAAGCCATTTCTTTAGGACATTAATCAAACTTAAGGCAAATTATTTAAATCAAACAAATATTCATATACTTTAGGGTTTGCGATACAGAAGCAAATCTACCACTAAATGGCTATCATTTGTTAAAATTAATAATTTATGCAAATTTTGTCCAAATTTATTCACTTTAAGAACATTTAAAACTATTTAAAAATTCTTTTTAATGTATTAAATATAGTAATAGTAATCAGAAAACTACTTATTAATCAAAACAACTTACAAGAAGTGGTCAATAAATTTAATGTAACTTTTTTATTGCAAAACTTGTTACTCGTCTTAATAGGTTTGCAATTAAAAAAATTTAAAATATAATTAATTTGCAAACGATTTAAGAAAACATCAATTATAAAAGCATTAAAGGATCAAAATCTAAAGATAACATTTAAAAATTAAAAGTTATCAAAATATTTCAAATTAATGGCATTTCAAAATACAGTTTCAAAAATTATTTTTTATCGCTATTTAACCATCAATTTATTGGTCTTGTTTTGAAACGAGTGTCTTTCTAAATCCAGGCGCCAATGGGTTTGTATGCGATGACTGTTTTTGTATCGGATTTAAATGTAATGTTAAATAATCATATCTGATATCCAATTAAGATATACATAAGTTAATGCAAAAATGAGTTCTTATTATGAAAAGTTATTAAATTTGAATTAACAACTAAATTGTCGACCCCTTTGTCCCCTTCAACCCGATTCACATGAAGAGTATTATAGAAACAATTCTTACCGTTATTTTTATCACAAAATTTTATAAATTAGACTCAAATAGCGAATTATCTTTTAATTTAAGTACAAAAAACTTAGGTATCATTTAAATATTAATTCAGGATTTGATTATAAGAAACGAGTGTTTTTGAGAGTAATTATGATTTGTAACAAAAAAGAAATTATTTTCATATTAACAACAATTACATCGCAAACAGTGATAATTATAATAAAACATAATTCCTCAACAATTTCCTCAATTCTTAGCGCTTATGCTATGAATAAGAAAAGAAAACTTTATTTTTGGTGCAAAAAGATATGATCGGAAAATATTGCAATTTATTTCTATAGAAAACAACAGAAAAAACACATTAATTGCGAAAATGTGTTAACAAAATAATAATACAAAACAAATTCATTGCTATATTTAAGCGCCAGAATAATAGAAAGGAGGGGTAATTGAAAATTTCTGGAACACTATTAGGATTTTTACTGTTATTTTGTGCAAAAATAATAATATAATTATTTTTATTTGTTTTTCCTCTCCGTATGAATGCATGAAAACCAAATTCATTGGTTACACATGTCATCAAAAATTGTATAACTATTTCTCCCGTCTTTCTTTTCCCTCCCCTTATGTCTGCCATAAATTGACTCAATTCTAGCATTTGTCACAATTAATGATAATGTGTTCAAACAAATTACTTACCCTCTGTCCCCACCCCTGACCTAACATTTATTTTTATTATTCCAAGTTTTACGTACTTTTGAGACAAGAGTTACAATTGAGTTATTCTTTCAATTAATTTTCATTTCAATTATCAGTAATTGTTATGTATTTTCAAAACATAAACAGAATATCTTGACATCAATTTTATTAAAACAGATAAAAGTATTGTCATATGAATGGTAACGCTGTTTAACATCACTTCATGTTTTATTTTAAATAAAATCAACTATTTATTGAAATATTGAAAGTTTGAGATAATTTGTATTTGTTGTACATAACTGTGCCATAATCTGGATTCTTTAAAATAGCATTTTTATGTCAATATATTAAATAAATAATTTTACAAATAAAACAGATTATAAATTATTTTTTATTTAAACTTTGTTTAAACAGATGAAATGCTGTACAATATATCATTCAAAAGTAATACATATTTGACAACAAAATTTCTAATATTAATTCATTGTTATATAAATCTATTTTCATATTTCAAGTAAAAATAATCCCATAATTGATATCTCGTTTAAATATCCGATTTAAATGCAATACTTTAAAGCCCTGACAAATGATACTATGAATGAACACAAAATATTTATAAAACAATTTTATATTTAATAATTTAATAAAATATTTGTTTAGATATGCAATGCAAACAAAACTGGATATTAAAGCTTAAGAATTCAGTTCTCGTGTAAAATTGGGTAAAATATTTGGCATTTTATTTGAGTTATTATTTGTAACAAGAGTTTTGTTATATGAATAGTGGGCCGTATGTTAAGGACAATTCACTTGTGAAGTAAATAATAAGAAAATATTGTGAAAATGTTGTGAACATTTTTTCTATACACTTAACATCGGCTCATATTTATAATACTTAATGTAAATAAGTTTTCCTTGAATTGTGAAATCATTTGCTTTATTTGTAATGTTTTTCTTTATTTTGCTTTTTAAATGCCTTTCGTCTATAAAAGGCGATGCATTGGAAAACTGATAGCCTTTTTCTCATTATAATAAATGCAAAACTTTTTTGCGTTAATTCTAATTACACAACGATTTCTATACTTATATACAATGGGTTCCAGTCTTTCAAACAAATAATAATATTAATAATACTATAATCAGTAAAATAAATACGATTTGATTTTTTTGCGTAAAGAAAATTTATAAAAAATGAATTAAACTTTTCTGTTGTGATTTATAGAGAATTTGAAATTATAAAAAACAGTAGTTTTATACAAAATATGTCAGAAATGGTACTGAAAATGAAGTTATAATCAACTAATTTGTGTCAAATTATTCATTGAATTTGTTGTGTAAATACGAGAAAATATATAAAAATATGAATTAATGAATTGATTGGCAAAAATTGGATGCAAACCAAACACACGAAAGGAGAGAATATATGAGAGAGAAGTGGTTTCATCGGTAGTGACAGGACTGACAGCCAGTGCCTGACGTCATGTGTACTGCAATGCCGTTATAACGCATCGCATGTGTGTTTGGCTCACAATCTCTCGCACAGCGAAACAACACAACACTCTGTGCTCTCATTCTTAACCCAAACGTTGAGTTCACTAAACATTAGATTACATGTTATTCTCTAAGCAATACTTAACGCAAACTTATTCCGGAGTCCACACAGACTGTGACTCTCGATATCACTGTTCATATGAATCAACGTTTTCATTCATTTGCTGACTTTCCCTCATATGATGTGTTAATAACTTATTTGAACGCATATTAATGAGTGCCTAAGTATTATACATATTATACATGTTTAGTGAAGTACTCTGTGTTCGCATTCATATCACACAGAATTTGATACAAATGTTGTGTTTATTATAAGAATTATGAATTTTCGCGACAAGTATTCATTGGTTTGATAATAAATAGTGTAATAATAATAATATTAGTAATAATTACTGGTCTCAAGTGTAAGGCAATCAAACATATCAATTATATTACGGACTATAATCTCAATAATATTAGTCTAAATATAACATAATATTTGCTTATAATTGAAAGCTTATGCGATTACAAGCAAAAGCAAACTCTTTCTTATCGCACAAAATACTGAATACAAAGAATACGTGAAAATGAGAGCCACTTATCATTTAATAACCACTCATTACTTCGGCTGAAAAACTATTATAATATTACAGCAAATTATTTCTTAATGCATAACAGAGTTGGATATCCGCTGCGATTAGATTACGGCAAATGTGTGTCATTATTATTATTATTATTTAAATGTTGAAGTGTTTTGTAGACATCCATTAGAGTATTGATTGATAATGAAATGAAATACACAAACCATTGCTCTGTGTTCTCACTTCTCAAACACAATACTCTCTCCCTCTCTATCGCTAAAGTCATACTTCAGAGGATGTGATGTAAAGTCAATCACATTTCGTGCCATCACTTGATATTAAAAATAATATAATAATAAATTTGATCTCTTTTATGACACAAGAGATGATTAAACAATGAATTCTGTGTCTTATCGCCAGTCGAGAGGCATTCACCCTTTTGGCCGAAAATATATCAGTCAATTGTATTGAGCAGAACGCAGGTGCGGGTCCTCTCAGTCCTCTCCAGCCCTCACCACTACTGGTGCTCTTTCTCTCACACAATCACTAATGTATTACTTTATACCGCATTAAACTAATAGACATCGCTTTCAATACACTCTTCACGGCATCACAAAAAGTGATTGTAAACTAATATTTGAGGTCTTCTTACACTCCCTTCCCATTCAACTTCACTTTTTAAAGCATTTCAATTCAACGCTCCGTTTGTTTGCCAAACGATTATCTCATAGCAAAAGTGTTTAAAACTTTTTTTGTGTTGAATTGTGAACAACTTTATCATTAAAAAGAGTGAATTCGTATCAAAATATTTCTGAAACAGAATTTTAAAAAATTTGTGAAATTCTTTCGCACCGATGGCTGAAAGTGTATCACCGAAGAAGCCTTCATATAGTAATTGTGCTCAAGTGGTTCACCACCAGGACTTCTCAGTGATGCTTCTGGAGCCGAGACCTTTCCGGCCATTCAAGAGCAGCGAAGAGTACTTGTATGCCATGAAAGAAGATCTGGCGGAATGGCTCAACACTTTGTATGAACTGGACATCAATGCCGACACCTTTTTGTCACAATTAGAGACCGGAGTTGTTCTCTGCAGGCAAGGCATCCCTCTATTGTTTTATATTTTAATTTATTGTTTTAACACTAATTATGTGTATTTTTTTGGTCAATAAAGACACGCAAATCAAGTGCTGAAGAGAGCGCGAGAGTACGAGGCGTCGGGCCGTCAGAGTCTGAATATAGCGATTCCTGTGAAGGATGTGGTCTATCGGATGAACGTAAAGGCGGGCACTTTCCCCGCCCGCGACAATGTGTCCAACTTTATCACGTGGTGTCGACTTTTGCAGATTCATGAGTGCCTTCTCTTCGAGACCGAAGACTTAGTGATGCGAAAGAACGAGAAGTCCTTTATATTATGTCTTCTGGAAGTGGCGCGAAGGGGATCCAAAATTGGTGAGTCTTTATCACAATATACATCAATGAATGTACAAAAAAGTGGGAAAATATGTTTTGCATTACATGTGAGAACTCATAAATTTAAAGTTAAAGTGGAGTTTGGATTATAGTGTGATTGCATAAGAATTGTAGGATTTAATGCACTATTAAAATATGTGAGACTAATATCAAAATGAATTAATTTCAAAGAGAAAAAATTATGCGAAAACAAAGTCTAACCCAAAAGCAAACTTTCTCTAAATTATGTATTAGTTTTTGTTTGAAGAATAAAAATATAGACATTAAACACAGGTCTCCAACAAAAATAAAATGTTAAGAAATTCATAGCTATAACAAAATGCATGAAATGAAAGGCGAATACAAGTACTGTATGTTTTGGGCGTCTTTTCAATCCTATATATTCTCCGTTCATTTCTATACGCTTTTAATGATAACAACAGAACTAAATTACATTTAAATGAATTCAATTACATGTACAGTATGTCTACATTACGAACCAGTGTTTTGTTTAATTCACGTTTCATTTTCAATGAAATTTCTATTTAATATCCTTATGTAATGAAATCTATCATAATATTAAACATTTGTAATAAATAATTGTGTGAATTGTGTGAACAATTGTAACATTTTTCCCGTTAATGAACTTTTTTTCAATACAATACAACTTATGATTACAATAAGCAATGCACGAGATTTAGATGACATGTAAACTCAGGAAAGTTATAATAATTGAAATGTTAGGATAATTGATAAAAACGAGTTTTCTTGTACACCGTTTGATCCCAATATCCCTACAAAACGAATGATTTAATAATTATATTAATTGTATTAAAATTACATTAAAGTATATGTTAGGAGTTTGTGTACAACCAATACTAGCCTATCGTATGTCAAATGTCTTGAAATTAGAGCACATATAAGAAAGTTTTATGTGTTTTTCTTATATTTATTGAAAGCAATTGTCTTAAATGTAAAGTTTGTTATAAAACATAACTTCAATCACTTTTTTATCGACGGAAACGAATACTCTTATCATAAAAATTGAAAATATTTTTTTACAAATGTATTGAAGTATAAAATTAAAAATGGTTTAGAATTTTGATTGCATTGTTATTACAATTAATTGTCTCTTTGTTTTCGGTGTTTTTATCATTATTATTATTTCAGACAATTTGATTAATTGTTGCATTTCTACAAACATTTCCAAGTTTTATACACAAAAATACAGTCAAACTCTATAATAAAAGACAGGTGTTGTACTGTACACACAACACACTTCATATACAGTGTACTAACGAGTTTTAAATGTACATAATTGTAGCGAATATAACAAATAAAAGGTTTGGCATGAAATCAAATATCCTGATTCAATACCATATGAAAAGTATCATGTGCTATCTTTAATGGGTCAGACCGTACAATACATACATTCGCCGACAATTACAATACAATCGCTAAAATTATTGTAATGCTATACACAATACATTATGTCTAATATAATGGTTCACTTGTGTTGCCTGTCGTTGAATATGTTTTATATCATGCCATAAAATCTTTCACTCGATTGCAATGTTTGTGAATAATTCCTTCAATGAATTTATTTTGCATTTTAAACAGTATTTTGCAAAAACATTTGATTCACATTTTCTGAAATAAATATTTGCATAATATTTCACATATAAACTGAAATAGATTTACTAAATATATCAATATTTTGCTCTCAAATGTACGAGAATTTTAATCTTAGATTAGATTTAACGGTATTTTTAGTGATTTAATACACTATTAGAGTCGAGTGGAAGGAATTGAGAATAAATTATTTAAATCTTTAAAGTATTAATGAAAGCCAACAGTTTTGGGGGTTTTATTGATTTTGGAAACATATGTATAAATATCTTTCGTTTGGGAGAGATTTGTGAATCACTTTTGCAGAGAAGACTCTTCTCAGAAGAGAGACTTTACTTTACTTTAAAATTTTCCAGAAAAAGATCTCAATTCAGCCGAAAATTTTTCGGGTCTTTATGTCTATTAATAGGGACTCTAAAAATATTTTGCTCTTAAATATGTGTACAAATATTTTCTTAAATACATATTTCTAAAAAGAAATACAAATACGGATTTATGAAACACTATCAACAAAAACAAATTCAATATCACTTAAATATCTAATAAATATGTTTCAATGCAACCAAAAAGCAAACAACATTTAAAAGTAACACTAGTTTTATGAAATGTTTTAATTATAGTGATTATATGAAGGATTGCTGTACGTCTGGTCCGACAGCCTTTATCTTGATTTAGAGGGTAGGGAACCGTCGGTTCAAACTTCCCTAACAGTGTATTATTGAGAAAAATATTTTTAGAAAAATACTGTGCCGTACAGTGATGTACAGTCCGGACACACATTGAAATAGCAATGAATGTTTCAATTTATCTTTTTCTCATCTCAAAACAACTGTTAATATTTAGTGTATTTTGAAATTTAAATACTTCTCTCTATTTAAATATTTGTATTGAATATATTTTGAATGCATTAAAACTAATGTAATCTGATTTCCTTTACAACAGGTATTTTAGCGCCGACTTTGATTCAGTTCGAGGAAGAAATCGACAGAGAATTGGCCGAAGAATCGGAAGACGATTCCGATAAAGAGTGCGACGACAAGAAAATAAGACCACAAATCATTACTAATGATCTCAAATCGTTGCACGAAAGGGTTGGTTATGTTTATGTTATATAAATCATATAATCTTCGCGTCAAACATAGATACACGAGCCCTACAGACGGTCATTGGGTCGACCATACATTGTCTGCAGGGAATTGATTTTCAATCAATGAATATTACAATACTTTTATAGTATTCTTACACCATATGTGGGGACTCTTTCATAAAATAACATATTTATGGCAAACATTTACATCAATACCCATAGAGTAGACGGGAATGTAAGCGACATTCAATCGACTGCAATGTATTATCATTTATGAGATAAAAGAGAAATGGCATAAAAATATATTGTATAAACACTATTGTGCTCTACTGTACACAACTTTGAATATATTTACAGATATTTACAAGTGGTCTACAGTAAGAAATGATCATTTATTTTTTGCATTAATAATTTGCAAAATAAAATATAAATCAGGAGTTAAGTAATTAAGAGATTCAAGAGATGCACTTAAATATATTATTATATAAATTTATAATTCATTAAACAAAAAATTAGTTTTCAAATGAAATCATTTCCTCCTTTGAATTTAATACTAAAGTATATATTTGACACTAATATCGTTGAAATTGGTATTCATTTCAATATGCAGTGTATTTTCAAGACTTTGTGCTCCGGGTTATGACTTATTAAATGTGTTATATTTACGGATTATAACTCTTATAAAACACATATAATTCGTATGAAATGTGCAAAGTTTGATGATATCGTTAAATATTCTGTTTATTACGATTAGAATAAGACTAGAAATTCAAAATCCTTTTTGATTAAATTCTTTGCGTTAAAAAAAACATTGCTTTAAAACTTTTCTCCACAAAACCTGTAAGCGATCGCAAATGGAATACAATAAATATTATTTGCATTCATTAATTGAAATGAAGTACAAAATAAATAATTAATTTTTCTTTGGCTTCATATCTAATATCCGCAAACAATATATGGTTTCTATGTTTATAATGCTATCATATAATTACCCAAACATTGATATTAATTTGCATTTATTTACAATGAATAGGTGGTAGAGCTGTTGTCCCGGTGTTCGTGTCCAACACAATATAGTTTAGAGTATATATCAGATGGAAAATACAGAATCGGCGACACAAAAGTACTGATATTTGTGAGGGTATGTAAAGTGACCACTCGTTTATTATGAATACATTATTTAATCCAATTATTTGTTTCACTAGATTTTGCGAAGTCATGTCATGGTTAGAGTAGGCGGCGGCTGGTATGTCATGCCATCGTGTCTCCACTTATTGGACATGTCGTACATTCTCTCTCTCTCTCTCGTTTTCTAAAACAAACTAACAGTATATTTATACAGTATTACAAATACCTAGGGCATATCTAATCATATAATACATTATATGTACAGTATATACAGTATTAATTTTCTAAATCTATTTGATA